GCGGTATGGTATAGGGGATTTTCTTGTACGGGCCTTAAAGTCTTGAATGGGCTTGAGCTAGGATTAGTATAAATAATAATGTTGTAACCCTATTCTTTATATTGAATAAAATCATCTCTGCTTTGCTCTCGTGGACGTGCCATACCGTCGGACCACGTAAATACTTGTGTTGATTTCTCTCTTTCACCTTTTTATTATTGTGCATAAAATCTAACAATACCCTATAAAAATACATTTTACAGTCCTAGGATCAAGTTTGGAACAAGTATTACTGGTATACGGAAAAACAATGCGGCCAAAAATCTTTAAAGGTAAATCCGATTGCATCCCAGATAAAGGAATTTTTTTTTCTTTTTTGGGGGAACATTCTAATGGCGTGCTATATTTTATAATACGTGTTGGCATTCTATTAATTAAATAAGTGGAACAGCGTCCCCAAAGATAATTTGAAACATTCATTGAAAACATTATAACTCTAAATACTCTGTTCCATTATGGGAGCAAAGAATGCTAATTTTTGTTTGAAACTGAACTTCAACAATCATGTAAAATTCTTTGAAAAGTTTTTCAACCTTGGACTTTTCATTCATCATATAAACTCTACACAAACGTGTATGATCATTTATAAAGCTAATAACAAACCATTGTTTTCTAGAAAGAGTAGTGACTCTTGAGGGTCCCCAAACATCACTATGTATTAAATAAAATGGTTTTGAAGAAAGATAAGGTTTTGGTAGATAAGTAGTACGATGGCTTTTAGATAGCAACAACTTTCACAATAGAATGTTGAACAATCCAAACCCTTAAATAAAGTAGGAAACAAGTGTTTAAGATATGGACAGCTAGGATGTCCTAGTCTCAAGTGCCAAATTATTATTTGTTCATAAACAGAATTAGACCTAACACTACCAAGGCACTGAGCCTTTTTATTACTGGAGAAGCTACCATCGAAGTAGTAAGTCCATCTATCATCTTAGCACATCCAATCTTCTTCCCCGAGTTGCAGTCCTGAAATTCACAGTAAGAATCACAGAAAATTACGCGCCAATTAGATTCTTTGGTTAGTTTGCTCATGGATAAAAGATTACTAGCCAGTTTAGGGACATGGAGGACAGATTTAGTATCTATATTTTTTGGTAATTTTATCAAACCTTTTCCTGCAATATGTGAGAAACTACCATCTGCAATTCTAATTTTTCCAAAGCCAGAACATGTTGATTAAGTGTGAAAAAGATTGGAAAAACTGGTCACATGATCAGAGGCTCCAGAATCAATGATCCATGGAGCAGAAGTTGAATAGCAAGAATGGACATTAAATGCACTACCTGTTTGTGCAAGAGTAACACTAGGAATACCTGACGAGGAATTAGATTTTAGTAGATTCAGAAGGTGATCCATCTACTCCTTGCTCAAGGGACTTGTCTCAGCTTCATTAATAGTGGGTATTGTACGGCTATTTTTGTCACCAAGCTTGATGCCTTTCCAGTTTGCTGGTTTTCCATGGATTTTCTGGCAGGATTCTCGAGTGTGGCGCGGTTTGTTGCAGTAATCGCACCAGACCCTTTGCTTCTCTTCAGGTTTTCTCTGAAAATTGGCTGCTTTATTAGCGGTAGCCTCAACAATAACAAGGGCAAACTCTCAACAGGTCCGCTAGTAGTCTTCTTCCCCAACATTACATGTCTGCAACTCTCTTCTCTTCGAACCTCAGCAAACAACACAGCAATTGGAGGAATTGGGGTCCTGCGAATGATCCGTCTCGTACTTCATCAGATTCCACATTTAGTCCAGCAAGGAATTTATAAATACGATGAGCCTACATGGTCTTTTTGTTATGATTAGCGTCTTCAGTGGATTTCCATTCATAATCATTGAACAGATCCACATCCTGCCAAAGGTGCTTCAATGAATTGAAATACTTGGTGACCGAGTCTTCCACCAGCCAAATCTCACCAAGTTTTACAGTCAATTCATGATCCTGATATTGATTTCCCAAATCAGAGTACATCTTATTCACATTGTCCCAGAGTTCTTTGGCTGTAGAGTAGCACATATAGTTGAAGCTAATATCTTCGTCCATAGAGTTCACGAGCCAAGTCATTACCATTGAATTTTCTGCATCCCAGGTCGCATAAGTTGCGTCCTCTGGTGCTGGTGCTGGCTTGTCTCCCTTTAGGCACCCAATCTTTCCTTGCCCTCAGATGTACATCTGAACGGACAGAGACCATCTCAAATAATTATCACCATTAAGGCAAATAATGGTGATCTGGACAGAGTGAGAATCAGTATTGGGGGCTTGGATTTTGAGAGATGGAGTTGACTCAGGTGAAATGTTAGACATGGCTGAAGAATAAAAAAATCTGCAGAAAAGAAATTGATTTTTAGGGTAGCTCTGAATGCAAACTTGGAAGAGATGAGAAAATATAGAATTAACTTTTCTGTATTAGCTCTTATGAATCATAGGATTACAGGGGTTCTCTTTATAGGAGAAAATACAAGCAAGAAATCAGGGAAAAGATAACAATGGCTAGCGGGCTTAACTAATTTCCTATTTTACAGGATTGACTAATATTCTATTAACAGCAAATACTTATAGCTATCAAATCTCTTAATGTTCGGTAATATCACTACCTAATCTTTCATTTCAACATCCCTTACCACTGGCTCTTAATGTTCGGTAATATCACTACCTAATCTTTCATTTCAACATCCCTTACCACTGGCAAATCCATATTTGATGCATCATAGGTGTTGATCTTATAAGATTCTACTAGTGGAGTACGACAAAAAACCCAATGTATATGTTGATGGAGGAAGAGTCAACACAACACCAAAAATGAGGCAATGGCCAAATCTCCACGCCAATGAATAGGCTGGAATAAGTGATCCATACGAAAAGAGAAATCATGCGATAGAGACTCTGAATGATCCGTCTAGGCTCCATGTGTATCTCATTGTGCTTCGTATCATTCTTCTCAATCCATGAAAACCAAAATATCAGTCGAGTAGAGGAACTCTAGTGTGAGTGTGTCCCTTACAAACATATTGACTTGAATGCTTCCATCTTTGGAACCAGGGTCTCCAAATATATCTTCAAAATGATGCCATACTTGATCAGAAATGATGTTACCAGTGAAAATGTATGAAATAGTCTCGATTTTTGAACAACACTGAAAATGGTAGGTCATAGACAGTCAACCCTTCTCTGAATGACCACATCGATTGGTATCCAATCTTCCCATAGTCTCCACCCAAAAAAATAATAATAATAATAAATAAATAAAAAATAAAAATTGGTAGGTATAATGGAACTTCACATCAACCGATATGAATCCTGAGGTTGTTGGCTAGAGCGGACTAACTGCCAAGCTGATTTGGTAGCGAAACTACCATCCAATATATCTCTCCAGATTATTTGATCTGGGGCATTTGCCTATGTATCTTCCTAATCTAGTGGACCATAGATTATGGAAGTACTGATAGCATTATTTCTATCTCCTTTCCTACACGCACACAACTAAATTGTTTTGGATGCAAATCCAACTTTGTAAATGTGAGATTCCTTGAATCAAGACACAAAATATTCGTACTCAATTTCTATGAGTATGTTTTAGAAAGACTAAATTCTTGCATATTTCCAATGTATACGGACATATTCACGTGCACACCCGATAGGGTGAGGTACAAATTAGGGCAGGAGATGGTGATTGCAATAGGTGGAGGTCGGGACGGAATGGCATGTTTTGAGTCGGCACTTTCTTTAAATCTTTATTGGGATCTGAGAAAAGCTCTTTCCCTTGGAAGGCTGTGTGAAAGAGTAAACAGCCACCAAGGGTGGCATTTTTACTGTGGACAGTGGTCAGAGGACAGGTGCTAACGGTGGAAAACCTACGAAGAAGGGGTTTTTATGTTACAAAGTGGTGCTATATGTGTAGGAGGGGTGGGGAGAGACTGATCACTTGTTCCTCCATTGTGATGTTGCTAGTTTACTGTGGAATGAGATTTTCGCATCGCAACACATGGATTGGGCAATCCAAATGCGTATGGAAGACGTGTTGAATGCATGGAGGAGAAAATTTCGAGAGCATGGGAGCTTATTCCGAGCTGCATAGTATGTTGTGTGTGGAGAGAAAAAACAGCCGTTGTTTTGACGATCAAACACGAACAATAGAGCAACTTAGAGAATTGTTTTATTTTATATTGTATACTTGGTTTAATGTGGCGGCTATTAGGCATATAGATGGGCTGCCCAATTTTATGTCTTTTCTTTCGGATTTGTATTGATAATACATTTCTTGTGTATTCTGGTTTGATTAATAAAATTTTCGATTACGTTTAAAAAAAAATAAAAAAAAATCATGGAATAATATGTACTTGTAGTCCATGTGTCGCCTTGCCTTCTTTAGTTCATGTATTTTCGATTATTTTGATTGTAGAAGTGTCGATGATAAAGTTTTCTTTTTGCTTCTCATATTCTCCTAGTGACTAGATATGCATCACTGGAACTATAAAAAGGGAGAAAGCACTTCCTAACAGAGCAGTCTAATTCTTGTATTCGGCGGTAGGACTGAAGCTTCTCGGTGCTTAGGGAATTCCTAAGCTCTCTTTGTTCATCTAATCTTGATTTGCTCTAAACATACAATAGTCTTAATTGGCTTATTCGATGCTCACTGCCTGAATTTAGGAGTTAACCCGATCGAGATCAGATGATGCAAGGATCGGATTTGAGAAACTTTCTGGCAATTCGCCTCTTTCGGGATCTTATATCACTCTGGAGATACTGTTTAATTGGTGGACAATGGTTGTCAGAACTGGTTTATCAATTCTGTAGCTAAAAGGAGCATTTACTATACTGTTTAACCTTTGCATTTTTTGTGGTTGTAGTTTTTGTATTTGGGAATAAAGGATCAAAGATGAATATATTCTTTTTTAGCTTCAAGAGGTTTCTTGTGGTAGTCTAGTGTGAATATCACATTGAGCGCTAATTAATATACACTTTTCAGGTATCTTTGTCAACATGGGAGCATGGAAGCCCACAATCATCCCTAGAATTTTCAATTAATATTGATCCTTCTCTTGCCATCGTCAGAAATCCTTACTCGGAAAAAAAGTGGAAAAAATTTCAACTATCAAGCTTGTTTAGCAGTTCGAGTGCGGCAATCAAGATGCAAGTCTTAGATTTGAACTTGTATCAGGGAGGAGCTAGATTTGTTGACCGATGGATTATTGTGCTTAGCATGGGTTCTGGGCAAACAAGAAACATGGCACTTGATAGGTATGTCAGGAAACTGAACAAAACAAATGTTTCCTAATTACCATAATGTGGTGCTGGAACCGGTCTTTAAGTCCATATATTCCTGGTTTCTCATACACTTACTGAAAATTATTAATTGGCTACCTAAAAAGGCTTTTATTCTTTTGTTTGTCTAACATGGCGAATGTGTATACATTATATATGATATTTGGAACCTGTGGAAGGTAGCTTGACAGTGATTGATATGTGCAAGTAATACCCTCTGAATTTGTATAAGTGCAACTAGCACAACCTATGTGCATTCAAGTGACCTCGTGTAATGCATAAATCAGGCAAAAGATATATTTGTTCGATTAATTCTTTTTTCATCTATGCAGTCGGTACCTGGCATACAAGCTGACTCCTGTTGCTGGAGTTGCAGCACAGATATCGCATAATGGCCACCCCACCACGACCCATCTATCAAGCTCCATCATGTCTCCTCTTCCTCTATCAAGCTGTATAAACATTCCCATAACTGTGCTGGGGTATTTCCTTGTACGTCATAATCGAGGTCGTTTCCTTTTCAAGTTTCAAGACTCTGAAACTGCATTGGAGGTACAGTCTGATGCTGCAAGTCGCTTAATTGAGGCTTGGAACAGAGAGCTGATGTCCTGTGTTTGTGATTCCTATATTAAATTGATATTGGAGATGCAGAAGTTAAGGAAAGAACCACTGACTTCTGTTTTCGAACCGAATTTAGGTCGTTCTATAAGTGAAATGTTGATGGCTTATGGAAGTGAAATATATTCTTTTTGGCCCAGGTCAAGTGGGAACTCAGTGCTTAAGCAACCTGTAAATGTCAAGGATTCAATTTCTATGAAGCCTCCTAAAGCAGACTGGCAGTGTCTTATTGAACAAGTTATTAGGCCATTTTATGCTCGCCTGATTGATCTTCCAGTTTGGCAACTTTATTCTGGGAATCTAGTCAAGGCAACGGAGGGTATGTTTCTTTCACAACCTGGAAGCGGGGTAGGTGAAGGCTTGCTACCGGCAACTGTTTGTGCCTTTGTTAAAGAGCATTATCCTGTTTTCTCAGTGCCGTGGGAATTGGTGACAGAAATTCAGGCAGTGGGGGTCACAGTCCGAGAAATCAAGCCTAAGATGGTCCGAGACCTACTTCGGGTTTCTTCAATGTCTATTGTTCTTCGGTCAGTTGATACTTATGTGGACGTTCTTGAGTACTGTTTATCTGATCTTCAGCTCCTGGAAAAATCTGGATCCAGAGGACTCCATACTACAGGGGACCGGAGCAGCCCAGATTTTAGTACTGCAAGCAAACCAGAGGAAAGTTTTCCCTTTGCTGTATCAACTCCAAATTCAGGTAGGCTTGGGATATCTACCCCAAGATCAACTAATTCCGGAGGAGACGCAATTGAAATGGTGACAAGCTTGGGGAAAGCTATATTTGATTTTGGTCGTGGAGTTGTTGAAGATATAGGCAGGCCAGGAGGCTCTTCCTCTCAGAGGTACCCTATGACAGGTAGTACTAGCAATGGCTTGGGTACAATTGAGGACAGGAGGCTTCTCTCTATGGCTTCCGAGATCAAAGGCTTACCCTGTCCGACTGCAACAAGTTGTCTCATAAAACTGGGGTTTAATGACGTTTGGATTGGAAACAACGAGCAACAAACTCTAATGATTTCTTTAGCTGGCAAGTTCATCCACACTAAAGTGATGGAGAGACCAGTCTTAGTAAATATTTTTTCTAACAGCTCTCTGCAGTCATTCTTGAAGTTCCAATCTTTCTCTTTTAGCTTGCTGGCTAACAATATGGGGCTTTTATTTAATGAAAATTGGGTGAATCATGTAATTGATTCGAATAATGCTCCCTGGTTTTCATGGGAGAAAATTGCAAGTCCTGGCAGTGAATGGCCGTCTCCTGAATGGATTAGACTTTTCTGGAAAATCTTCAGTGACTCATCAGAAGATATCTCTATGTTCTCTGATTGGCCTCTTATTCCTGCTTTTCTTGGTCGCCCGATCCTATGTCGCGTAAGAGATCGTCATCTTGTCTTTGTACCACCCCCTTTTAGCAATTTGAGTTCTTCCATTGCTCCTTCTGAAGAGGGTACTTTTGAGTCTAACCAATCAGAATTTTCTTCTGAATCTGATGTGGTTCAGTCATATTTGTTGTCCTTTAGGTTCATAGAAGAAAGATACCCTTGGTTATTGTCATTGCTTAACCAGTGCAATATACCTATCTATGATACTACTTTCATGGATTGTGCTGCTCCATCTAAGTGTTTACCAACAGCAGACTTGTCATTGGGGCGAATTATAGCATCCAAGCTTGTTGCAGTCAAACAAGCAGGGAATTTTCCTGAACTTAATTCCTTTTTACCTTCAGACTGTGATGAGCTTTTCAATTTGTTTGCTTTTGATTTCTCTTCCTGTGGTTCCGAGTATGGAGAACAAGAACTTGACGTACTACGTGATCTTCCCATTTATCGAACTGCCTGTGGTACATATACCCGGTTGCAAAGCCAGGATCTGTGCTTTATCTCTTCAAACACATTCCTCAAGCCATTTGATGATCGGTGTCTTTCTTACAGTGCTGATTCTACTGAAAGTTCTTTACTTCGAGCACTTGGTATCCCTGAGTGTGCTGATCAGCAGATTCTTGTAAAATTTGGATTGCCTGGGTTTGAAGGAAAACCCCAGCCTGAACAGGAGGATATCTTGATATACCTTTATGCAAATTGGCAAGAACTCCAACAAGATTCATCAATAATTGAAGCGCTTAAAGAGACTAATTTTGTGAAAACTGCTGAAGAACAATTGGCAGACATGTGTAAGCCCAAAGATCTGTTTGACCCAGGTGATGCATTATTAACATCTGTATTCTCTGGAGTAAGGAAGAAGTTTCCTGGAGAGAGATTTATTTCAGATGAATGGCTTCGAATTTTGAGGAAAGTGGGTCTTCGAACTTCTGCAGAAGCTGATGTTGTGCTTGAATGTGCCAAGAGAGTAGAGTATCTTGGAGGTGAATGTAATAAGCCCATGGGAGATCTTGATGATCTTGAGACTGATATAATAAATATGCCAAATGAGGTTTCTTTTGAAGTGTGGCTATTGGCTGAAAATCTGGTCAAAGCAATTTTTTCTAATTTTGCTGTACTTTATAGCAACAACTTCTGCAATCTCCTCGGCAAAATTGCTTGTATACCTGCTGAAAAAGGCTTCCCGAGTTTAGGTGGCAAAAGAAGCGGGAAAAGAATGCTGTGTTCATACAGTGAAGCTATTGTCTCAAAAGATTGGCCGCTTGCTTGGAGTTGTGCGCCGATTCTTTCGAGGCAGAGTGTTGTACCACCAGATTATGCTTGGGGACCACTACATTTAAGGAGTCCTCCAGCCTTTTCAACTGTACTGAAGCACCTCCAGGTAAGGTATCATCTTATGATGTCAATTTGAAGGTTATAGTTTTTCTCTGTGACATGTATCAAACGTAATGCACAGGTATTAGGGAGAAATGGTGGTGAAGACACCCTTGCTCACTGGCCAACTGCATCAGGTCTCATGACAATTGACCAAGCCTCTCTTGAGGTATTGAAATATCTTGACAAGGTCTGGGCTTCCCTTTCTTCTGCAGGTATAACTTTTTTTAATACCATTTTAATGTTAAAGGTTGTGCTAGTTGCATGGCCAAGACATTAGTTACTGAATGACCTTCTTGTGTTTACCTGACAAGAGTAAAGGTTTCTTTGTGTTTTTCCCTTTGTTTACATACAAATTTAGCATATTATGTTTAAGATTTTACCTCAGTTCTTAGACTTTCCTTCGATTATTCATTGGTAAACTTTTGACTTCTTAGTTTCTTTGTACATTTCTTTTTGATTATTGGGATTTAGTCATTTTTTTCATTTGCATATTTTAAGTTAGTTATGACTTAAAAAGAGCGAATTTTCCATTTTTTGGAAAAATATTTTATTGTGTTGACATATATGTTTTCTAGCCGATTTTTTTAAAAGAATAATAGTTACTGGTTTCTGGAAGTCGAGGGATAGTCACTGCATCTCGAGACAAAAGGAAATTACTTGAGCAAAAACCAAAATTGATACATGCAATGGACAATTTTTTTTTTTAGGCTGACTAATATTATGTGTGGTCTCAATGTAGACTATTAAAATTAGCCCCCGTTTGGCTCCATTCTTTTCAAAAATGCATTTTTCCATAACTCATTTTCAGCCACAAATTCTTCAATGAAATAATGCTATACGTAAAATCAAAATTTTTCCTTATTTTTTAACATATTTGCCAAAAAATCACTATTCTAGAATATATTCTCTCCCAAAATCTCATTTTAATGGATTCTAAACAAGCAGTGGTGGACGCAGACATTTTGAGTTAGGGGGCACAATCAAACCCTGTGCAGATCGAATACTTTGTTCTTGATTTTTGAATGATTCATACTTGATCCGAGAAAACTCATATTTACGTTTAAAAAACATTCATTCATTAATTTTTGCTCATCATTTTCATCAATTTGATTTCGAATGGTCATTTTATTAATATTTTGCCACTAAAAAAAAATTCATATTTATATTTAAAAAATTTATAATGTATTTGATACAAATAATGAATTAAAACAATCAATTCAAGCAATCGAAAGGAAAAATATATAATCAATATTCAATACTAATAATCAATCAAATAAATACAATTCGTTAAATATAAGTTAAATTGGACACAATCATTTCAGACACATTCTATATACACAATTTGATAGGAGAAAATGAAAATTTAGGTTCTAATTAGTTGAAAATTCTATTGGGAAGTAAATATTTATTGTAAATGTGATAATTTGTAGACAAATTTTAAAAGATTAGAAGGGTTAAGGTTTTGGTGAAAGGCGTGAAGAAGAGAATCGCTAGTGAGCAAGAGAAAAAATTCAATTAAAAAATTCATATTTATATTTAAAAAATTTATAATGTATTTGATACAAATAATGAATTAAAACAATCAATTCAAGCAATCGAAAGGAAAAATATATAATCAATATTCAATACTAATAATCAATCAAATAAATACAATTCGTTAAATATAAGTTAAATTGGACACAATCATTTCAGACACATTCTATATACACAATTTGATAGGAGAAAATGAAAATTTAGGTTCTAATTAGTTGAAAATTCTATTGGGAAGTAAATATTTATTGTAAATGTGATAATTTGTAGACAAATTTTAAAAGATTAGAAGGGTTAAGGTTTTGGTGAAAGGTGTGAAGAAGAGAATTGCTAGTGAGCAAGAGAAAAAAATTCAATTCTATTATGATTTTTCCCCTGTTTGGTGGGAATTAAAATCAAATTTTTAGTAGATTTTGATAAAAGTTGAAATGCTGTGGATCCCATGAAACATGTTATTAAAATTTAATCCCTGTTTGTTTCTCATTATTTTCCCATTAAAATGAAAAATATGACCGTTATCTATCATATCAAGCCACCATATTTGACTTTCTATCTCTTGTGTGGAGCCGTAACGACTTTATCCCTAAAAAAAAATCCAAAAGTTGGGGGTCACATGACCCCATAGGAACACCCCCCGGTGTGTCTGCCTTGCAAACAGGAATATACAACTGTGTGAATTAGGGCAGAATAGAGAAGTGAAGATGATTCTTATTATTCCACACTAAGGTTACAATACGAGACCTATAAATACTGTACAAAACTGGAAAAATAAGGTAAATACCTAAGTAAGGAAAAAATAAGATTTCCTAATCTAAATATGGTTATACAGTAATAAATCAATACACAATCAATCCCACAATAATTACGGGATTTCTACGCTCCCCCTCAAGTTGGGTCATATATGTTAATCATGTCCAACTTGCAGACTAAATCCTCGAAATTTTGTCGCGGTAGTCCCTTGGTGAAAATATATGCAATTTGTTCTTTGGTGGGCACATAGGTCATGCATATAATCCCATTTTCAACTCTTTTTAATGAAGTGTCTGTCTACCTGAACGTGTTTGGTTTGATCATGTTGGACTGGATTGAGTGAAATGTTAATGGCTGATTTGTTGTCACAGTAGAGTTTGATAGAAAGCCTTGCCATAACCTGTAATTCATTCAATAATTTCATTATCCACAGTCCTTCGCATATTCCCTGTGCTACCGCTCTAAACTCAACTTCGGCATTGCTTCTGGCTACCATAGTCTGCTTCTTACTTCTCCAAGTTACCAAGTTCCCCCAGACGAAGGTGCAATAAGCAGTAGTTGATTTCCTATCTTCTCGTGAACCAGCCCAATCGGCATCTGTGAAAACTTCTACTTCTGTTCTTTCATTTTTTTTAAAGAATAATCCTTTCCCAAGGGTACTTTTGAGATATCTAAGAATTCTGTATATTGCTTCTAAGTCAGCTTCTCTTGGGGAGTGCATGTGTTGGCTAACCACACTCAGATAGAAGATCAAGTATGTACTTCTGTTGTGAAACGCTAATCCCTTTATTTGATCTTGCCACTTCCATACCTAGGAAGTATCACATCTGACCCAAATCTTTCACTTCAAATTCTGTAGCTAGACTTTTCTTAAGCCTCTCGATTTCTTCTATATTATCCCCAATCAGTACAATGTCATCAACATATACGATCAAGATTGTTTTTCTCCCAATTTCAGATAGCTGGTAGAACATCGTGTGATCTGATTGTTCTTGTTGATATCCTTGACTTCTCAACATATTTGCAAATCTGTTGAACCATGCTCTTGGTGACTGTTTGAGGCCATACAGTGATTTTTTGAGTTTGCACACCCTATTTCGTTCACCATTATTACGGAAACCAGGGGGTAGTGTCATGAAGACTTCTTCCTCCAATTTTCCATTCAAGAATGCATTCTTAATGTTAAAACTGTTGGAGAGGCCAATCCAAGTTGGCTATTATGGACAAGATAACTCGGATAGTATTCAAATTTGCTACGGGGGCAAAAGTTTCTATGTAATCAATGTCATAAGTCTGCGTATATCCTTTTGCCACAAGTCGAGCTTTATACCGTTCTATTGTCCCATCAACTTTGTACTTTACATTGAAAACCCATTTGCATCCAATAGGTTTTTTTCGTCTCGATAATTCTACCACATCCCAAGTTTTATTTTTCTCAAAAGCTTGTATTTCTTCCAAAACAGATTCTTTCCATTTTGGAATAGTCATAGCCTCCTGAATGCTCTTTGGAATTTCAGTATTGTTAAGGCTATAAGAGAAATTACGAAATCTTGTATATAGGTTGGTATAGGAGACAAATTTTGAGATAGGATGGAGAGTACATGACCGAGGCTGTTTTCTGAGAGCGATGGGTAGGTTAATTTCTGAGAGCTCATTATGTGAATGAGTTTCATTTGGATTTGGAGCTATCATCGAGTCCAACTCTCTTGGTGCTTCAGATGTATTTTGGCCTCCTTGAATAAACGAAAATCTTCTTATTGACTTGTTTTTTGGGATCTTCCCCGAGTTTAAGCTACCCTTTACAAATGGCATGTTAGAATCATGAGAGATGATTGGTTCAGTAATGTTAAGATTAAAGACTAGGAGTTTATCAGAGTTCTCGAGCCGATCTTCACTCAACTTCTCCCCCTGAAGAGAGGGTTTTTGAAAGTATGGAGTTTTTTCGAAGAATGTGACTTCTTTGCTCACCAAAACCTTTTTTGTGGATGGATCGTAGCATTTGTAGCCCTTTTGGGTAACAGAATATTCGATGAGAACACATTTGAGTGCACGAGGATCGAGTTTTCCCCGTTGATGTGGGTGTACATGGACAAAGGTTGTACACTCGAATACACGGAGGGGTGGATTTGAATTAAGACGGGAACTTGGAAAATATTCTTGAAGTATTTGGAGAGGTGATTTGAATGAGGACTCTGCTGGGCAGTCTATTTATGCGATATGCTGATGTTAAGATTGCATCTCCCCAAAAATATTTCGGCATATATGTGGTGAACATTAAGGCACGGGCTACCTCAAGGAGGTGTCTATTTTTTCATTCAGTGATCCCATTTTGTTGAGGGGTATTGACACAAGAATTTTGATGAATTAGGGAAATTCTTTCAAGGTAGTATTAAAATATTCTGTGCCATTGTCATTTCGCAAGATTTGTATTTGTGTATGAAATTGTGTTTTGATCATGGAATGAAAGTTAACAAATATAGTTTGGACATCAGATTTTTCTTTTAGCAAGTAAATCCAACACAATCTAGTATGATCATCTATAAATGTTTCGAACCATTTTTTGTGAGTTCGACTCGGGATGCGTGATGGTCCCCATAATTCACTATGAATTAAGGTAAATGGTTTAGACGGTTTGTACATAGATTGTGGGAAGGGATGACGATGATGTTTCGCTAGTTCACAATTTTCACATTGGAAATCAATGATTCTTTTATTTGGAAACAATGAAGGAAACATATGATATAAATATTGGAAATTGGGATGACCCATTCTAAAATGCCATAACAAAGGTTCACTATCACTCGAAGAAGAGACAGAATCACAAGTCGCAATTTGATTTTGTTTACTCACATTAGCCTCCTCAAATTAGTAGAGTCCCTCACATTCTTTAACACTGTCAATCGTCTTCCCCGATGATAGGTTCTTAAAAATACAATGAGATGAAAGGAATTTAGCTAGACAATTGGAATTTTTTGTTAATTTGCCGATTGACAGTAAATTGCAGGACAAGTTTGGTACATGAAGGACATTCTAATGTTATAATGTCAGAGATACGAATATTCCCTTTCCCTGCTACTGGTGATAGTGAGCTATCGGCAATTTTAACTTTAATATTACCAGCACAAGCAGTATATGTTGAAAAAAGGTGATAAGAATCCGTTATGTGATCAGACGCACCTGAGTTAATAATCCAGGGAGCTTTGGAGTGTGTGGAGATGTGTAAGGCAGTTAAGGGGTTACCTTTCTTTGCTAGAGAACTTGACGGACTAGGTGAATGAAATTCTGAGAACATTTTGTATAGTTGCTCTAATTGCTCAGGATTGAACGCTGCTTTCTTCGTAGAATTTTGTTTTTCTTCAATCGGATCAATACAAGCTTGGTATCCACGATTTCTATTATTGTGTCTCGGTTTCCAATCAGTTGGCTTTCCATGTATCTCCCAACAGGTATCCTCTTTATGACCTGGTTTACGACAGTGTTCACACCAGGGACGTCCTCGTTGTCTTCCTCTTGACCCATTAGCTCCAGGCCCATTTCCTTTAATTAATGGGCTTATTTCATTTGGCCCATTTCCTTTGAAATTTTAAGTATCTGGTCCAATTTTTATTTGGTTCGATCCAGTCCTTTTAATTACTTGGATTGACCCAATCGGCCGAGAGGCGATAGAAATAAGGGCTGATCCATTTTCTTCTTCCTCAGAGCCTTCGATCCCAGTCGTTTAACATAATTTTCCGGTGGCTTTCTTCTCTGCGCACGTCGGCAAAGACCTCTTGGAGTGATTGCAGTGGTCGACGACCCAAAATCCTCCCTCGCACATCATTCAGGTCCCGATTTAAGCCGGCCAAGAACTCATAGATTCTCTTGTTTTCCAGTATCCTTTTGTATCTCACTGTATCGGCTGGGCAATCCCACTTCTCTTCAGTGTTCTGATCAAGTTCTTGCCATAAGGAGCTCATTTCCAAAAAGTATTTGGTCACGTCCCTGTCTCTCTGTCTTGTCTGCCAAAGCTTCGTTTTGATTTGAAATATTTTGGAGGAGTCCTCTGTGTCCGAGTACATGTCACGCACCGCATCCCATACATCCTTTGCCGTGGGAAGAAATAGATATGCCTTTCCAATTGCGGGTTTCATGGAGTTGATTAACCACGCAGTCACCAACGAGTTTTCCGATCTCCATCTTTGTAGTAGGGTGGAGTTGGTTGAGGCTGGTTGCTGCTTCTCTCCGGTAAGATAGCCGAGTTTTCCTTTCCCATCAATAATCAACTTAATTGATTGGGCCCATTCTCTATAGTTTTTACTGTTCAATTTTTCCACAGTAAGTTGAATGGAGGCGTTGTCCAGTCTGCTTGAGCCCATGGATGCGAGGGATTCTACCTCGCTGATTTGAGGCTCTTGTGTCGCTGACTAGCTATTCTCCTCCGAGTGTTCTGCATTGAGCGGTGGACAACTAGGTTAGGCACGACCACGCTCTGATACCATGTGAATTAGGGCAGAATAGAGAAGTGAAGATGATTCTTATTATTCCACACTACAGTTACAATACGAGACCTCCTATAAATACTGTACAAAACTGGAAAAATAAGGTCACTACCTAAGTAAGGAAAAAATAAGATTTCCTAATCTAAATATGGTTATAGAATAATAAATCAATACACAATCAATCCCACAATAATTACGGGATTTCTACAAACTGTGTTAATATGTTTTTTATTCCTTGTTTTAGAGCATTTTAATGACGGAGACAGAAAAGCATGAAAGTAACAGTCATTCAGTCACCAACACAAGTTCCTCATAATATAGATAGATCTGAATGTTTAATACACTGCTCATAGTGGTCATACATGCCAATTTCATTTTTACTCTGTTAAACTTCTAATCTTGTGGATAAGAAAATGTAAAAGCGTAGCATGTTTACTTGGAGGAGGATGATGGCCAGATACGCGATGATAATTGATTGTACTATTTCTAATATAATTTCATATTATGGAAATCAGTCAAAAGGCAAAGTAAGGTTGTCTGTGTTGTTGCTTCACTAAAGGATATGAAAAGTAGTTGAATTTTGATAATTGAACTGGAACTGTTTGTAAAATAATTTTGTTTCATGGTAATCAGTCTAAAGGAAAAATGAAGTTATCTTGTGGTTTCTCTTGAGACCATGGAAATTTTCTTAGTTTTGAGAATGAAATTGAGTGTAATTGTTGTACACTTTTTCGTTGTAGTTGTATGATAATAAATAACTATTGTTGCATTGCCAGAGATTAAAGGGCTACAGCAGGTAGCCTTCTTGCCAGCTGCAAACTGTACTCGTTTGGTGACAGCAAGCTCTCTCTTCACACGGTTGACAATAAATCTATCTCCATTTGCATTCGAACTCTCTTCAGTCTATCTCCCATTTGTGAAGATTCTTAAAGAGTTGGGGCTTCAGGACTCATTATCTGTTGCTTCTGCAAAGAATCTTCTTTCAGATCTTCAGAAAGCTTGTGGTTATCAGCGTCTTAATCCAAATGAATTCCGTGCTGTAATTGAAATTTTATTTTTCATATGTGATGAAGAAAACAGTTCAGATGTCTCCAGCTGGGAATCTGAAGCAATTGTTGCTGATGATGGCTGCAGGCTTGTCCATGCAAAATCATGTGTATACATTGATTCAAATAGCTCTCATTATGTGAAATATATTGACACTTCCAGGCTAAGGTTTGTTCACCAAGACCTTCCAGAGAGAATGTGTTTGGTTCTTGGCATCAGAAAGCTCTCTGATGTGGTCATAGAGGTAACATGCAGATTTGAAATGTTTCTGTTGGGTATTAATTCTATTTTTAAATGACTTACTGTGTATAACATGTCAGCTTATTACATTAAAAATTCACTATCTGTAGGAGCTGCATCATGGAGAAGATTTACACACTTTGGAATGTATTGGATCTATTTCACTAGCATCCATCAAACAGAAATTATTGAGTGAATCATTTCGAACTGCAGTTTGGAGAGTTCTGGCTAGCCTAGCTAGTGACATTCCCGGGTTTTGTATTCCAGACTTGGAAAACGTTAGAAAATCTTTGATTTCTGCTGCAGAAACACTGAAGTTTGTCAAGTGCGTATATACTTGTTTCTTGCTGCTTCCAAAATCTTTGGACATTACCCAGGTTGCAAAGAAGTCAACTCTTCCAGAGTGGGAGGATATATCTCAACATAGGGCTATTTATTACATCAATAAGTTGAAAACTTGTGTTTTAATTGCCGAACCTCCAAGTTATATGTCAGTTCTTGATGTTGTTGCAATTGTTGTAACTCGTGTTTTGGACTCGCCAGTTCCACTACCAATTGGACCTATGTTTCTTTGTCCTGATGAAACTGAGTGTGCAGTCTCTGATGTTCTGAGACTGTGTTCTCATAAAAGAGATGCTGAGTTTGGAATTGGAGTAGAAAATTTTCTAGGCAAAGAGATACTGCCACAAGATGCTACACGAGTACAATTCCACCCATTAAGACCTTTCTATAAAGGAGAGATAGTAGCTTGGCGGTCTCAAAATGGAGAAAAGTTGAAGTATGGCAGGGTTCCTGAGAACGTTAGATCCTCAGCGGGACAAGCACTTTACAGATTCACGGTTGAGACCTCATCAGGGGTTACTGAGCCGCTTCTTTCTTCGAACATTTTCTCTTTCAGAAGTATTTTGTCTAGTGATGTTTCATCAGCAAGCATGCCGGAGGATGATCATATAGTAATTGACAGGATAAATGCAGAAAGTTCTGGAGTCAGATCAAGGCCTTCTCAGGTACGTTGGTCAACTTGCTTGCCTAGTCTTGGAATGCCATCATTTCTGAGATCTTGTGCTGAAGTGTTGTTTAAGATTTTAAGTCTAGTTGAATAAAATTCAGCTCTTACAAGTTTTACTTCTAATGACTTGTATCTCTGTCAACTCATTGTGCGTTTGTCATGGGCAGCAGCATCTGGTGCAAGATCTCCAGCATGGTCGTGTTTCGGCTGCAGAATTGGTCCAGGCAGTTCATGAAATGCTCTCTTCAGCTGGCATCAATATGGATGTAGAAAGGCAATCACTGTTGCAAACAACATTAACGCTGCAAGAACAACTTGAGGAGTCTCAAGCAGCATTATTGCTGGAGCAGGTCTTTATCTTGAATTTTATGCTTGTATTATTATTATTATTTTTTTTGGGGGTGGGGGGTGGGGATGCTTAAGGCACTTAATAGGAAAAGTTTCAGACTAGAAGACGAGTATTTATTTTTCAATCCCAAAAAAAAAAAAAAAAAAAAAAATATGATGGTATGTTTAATCTGCAGTTTAAATTTGATATGGACAGTTTGCCTATGGAATCAATTGAAGAAATCATTGCAATTTCATCATCTTATGGAACTATTTCTCTCGGGTGCAATGTTTGTAATATTTTATATTTTCAGTAATTTTTTTATGATCAAGTGTTTTTTTATTTCCTTTGTTTAAGAGCATCTTTGTGTTGATAAACGCAGTGTGTTTTTCAATCCATGACAAGTTAGCTTTATGAAAATGTAATGAGGAAAAAAGAATGGGATCAAATATATACTAGTTCTGAAATGCACGAGCTTTGAATATGCAGGAGAAGTCTGACATGGCTACTAAAGAAGCCGATACAGCCAAAGCGGCCTGGTCTTGTCGGGTCTGCTTAAACAACGAAGTTGATGTCACAATTGTTCCCTGTGGTCATGTACTTTGCAGGCGATGCTCATCTGCAGTTTCAAGGTGTCCATTCTGTCGAATTCAAGTTTCAAGAATCATTAGGATCTTCCGGCCTTGATCACTCTTTTCTTCTCCGGAGGGCAGGTATTAGATTCACTTCTTTTCAAGGAATTATAACTTCCTTCATAGGAACTGTGTTATAAAAATTATATACTACACAGTGTATAAAAGCATAGCATATCAAGGAATATGATATCATGTATAGGACATTGATAAAGCTTTTCACAGTTAGTGTATATTGTAATGGTCTTTTCCTGTCAGCATGAAAATGTTGGCTTAGTTAATTTCATTATTTTGTATCATTTCTATCATATTGGATCTACAAGTTCGACTGAGCAGCTGGATGTGAATCGAGCTTACCAAACAAGCCATCTCCGGTTTAACTTTATATGCAAGTCTTGTAGACTGTAGAGTAATGATGGTTCTGAGTTGGATGATTTTCAGAATTAATGAACATATATTTCCTGTTGTGCCAGACTCAATTTCTTATTCCAGTACTGTCTAATCTCTTGATTTTGGAACAACTATTTTATGTGTTAATTCTGTTAATGGATGAGTTGCTATACGACTGGGCTAATTCTGAAGTCGAGTTGGGGGTCTAAATAGCTTAAGTTCCAACTTGGGCGTCGCATGCTTAAAGGCTTAATCCTATTCCGGATGCACACTTCTGAAGACATGTAGCGTATCAATATAACATCTCTGACCCCAAGAAAAGCTGTTGAAGGCGTCAATATCATCAACAACATCCAACAAAAAAAGTCGATTGATGTCTTATAGTGTAGACACCTTAGTACACTCCCAGTATGAACATCAATCCCAACTTAAACTTGTCTAACATGTGATCGCATTTCCTGAATGAGTCCTCTAACTGTGAGGGTGTAATGGACTCTTTACCTCCAAAATATAAATTCAGCAACCTTTTATTTACTGTAATAAAAGCCCTCACTGCTTCTTCCCCATTACACTTTAAACTTGTAATGAAGGCAAATTTAAAGATCGAGAATCTTGATACCTTCCCGTCCCCCATGTCAAAATGAAGCTCATTGCCATCGATTAGCTTAAGTAGTTGAAGTAATAATGAATCAATGATCTGACCAGAAAATTACATGTCCTTCAACGAATAGAAGGACCATTGGAATGATCAAGCATAGCTAGAAAAGTTACAATACGACGTAACTTCCCCCAAATGAGTTCTCATAATATTGTCCAGGTGGTATTCCATCCTGCAAAAATAATACACGACCATATACAAGATATATCAATATTTATCATATCTTAAGTTGAAGTAATAATGAATCAATGATCTGACCAGAAAATTACATGTCCTTCAACGAATAGAAGGACCATAGGAATGATCGAGCATAGCTAGAAAAGTAAAATACGACGTAACTTCCCCCAAATGAGTTCTTATAATATTGTCTAGGTGGTTGTCCATCCTGCAAAAATAATACACGTTAAAATCATATACAAGATATTATCAATATTTATCATATCTTAAAATTTAACCAATCGGATTATATGCACTAGTACTCATGAAATAAATTCATCTCAACACACATTAAAAAAAGTAAACAAAAAATATAACTACACATAAATTGAATTAACTTAAAAATAATAGAAAAATTATTTCAAGTAAAAAAAATAATAGTAATAAATAACGCATAAATTGAATTAAATTAATGAAAAATAAAGTAAATTAAGGAAAAAAACACACATACATAAATGAGCAAAAAAATTAAAAAATTAAAAGAAGCAAAAAAATGAAAAAGAAAAATAATTGATGAAAAATGAATTAAATTAAGAAAAAATTAAAAGATTCAAAGTTTTATTCTTTATAAAAAAGATATAAAAAAATACATGCAAAAAGGAAAAAATGAAAATGAAAAAAAAAATTATTAAAAGAAAATGAATTAGAAAAATAAATAAAAAGGAAATCGAAAAAAAAATGTAAAATTTAATATTGAAAAATAATTGGGAAATAATAAGATAAAAACAAAAAATAAAGTGAATTAAATGCAAAAAAATCAGAACTGAAAAAAAAAATTCGAGCTCCGTCCCATTTTTTCACCTTTTTAACCATTTCAACCTCAAATTTGATTTTTTCTTCCATTTTTTAAAATTTGTATTAAACTCATAAATTAGCACATTCAATAACGAAAAATTAAATCTCTACATCACCACTATGAGAAACTAAAGATTTCCCAAAAAAAAAAAAAAAAAAATAAATAAATAAATAAATAAAATCTAACCTTGCCATGTTTAGAAGGTGAACAATGCCATCTATTTAGCCTGCAATCTTGGACTCCGGCTTTGCTACATTTTCTTTTTATTGTTCTCTCTTGTTTATGAAAGTGGTAAAATATGTAACTACAAGTTTTGTTTTGTTTTTATCTCTTATCATTTTTTTTTGTTTAATAATGGTCAAAGGCCATTGTGAAAAAGTGATTGGGTCAACCAGTTATTTAACCTTATTTCTTCACCCCAAAACTGCATTATCTTTCCCTACACAAATTCTCAACCTACCATACTACCTTCTCACACTCTCACGTACAAACAGCTTTATACAGAGTTCTTCAATGGAAAATTTTCGATAAGTGAGATTTAATATTTATTTGATGAAATCTAAATTGGAAATGCTTGAGAAATTCATTTATGGAAAGTGTTGACACACTAAAAGTGCAGCCCAAATCAAATAGCCCAAAGAGTGTAGCCCAATTGGGGAATTCAGGATAAAGGTCCAAACATGATTATTGATGAATGCGGTGAAAGCCCCCGAATACTGTAACATCATCGCCTAAGCTTGTAAAACGCCCAGAATCTGAGCGAATGGAGTACCTTACGGTCACCCAGAGTGATGACCCCGTTCTCGCCCAAACCTTCGAATCGCCCAGGATCTTAGCAAGCATAAAATATTATGGTTATCCACAATAGCAGTTATTGAGTGATCTTATCACATTTCACGATTCAAGGAGCCCAGTTGAAGGCGGTTGAACGACAAACAGTAATGACAACAGTTAGAGACGGCAGTTCCACGACAAGTTAGTCACCATAAAGAAAGTGGATAGTTATACAACAATCAAGCAGTTTCCAAGCGGTTTGTCATGAAGAAATCATCAAGGGAATATAAAAGGAAGAGACGACATAGAGAAAAGATCCCGAATCAAACACTCTCAAATAGAGAATATGTAATTTCGATTTCTCAGTTTAAACTTAAACACTTCTTTTAGTACTCGTGTGCTTGTGCCCCTTGGAGGCATTCTGTTTATTTCTAGTTGTAAATCATCGCCAATAAAACACCCCTTTTTTGGACTTTGTCTCAAGAGGTCTGTTCCTTACACAATTGTCTGATCCCTTTTTAACTGTTAGCGACCACCTGTGCGAAACAATTTGGAATGCCCGGTGGGACCTTGGTGTTTGGTGTTGAAGATACAAAAGGTGAAACAATATGCATCACAAATCTGATAAGGAAGCAGCAAGTCAGGGAGGAGTCCAGTCTGTGATCGAGCGATATGAGGAGCAGCAAAGCTCTCCACGAACAGAGGGACAGAGTCAGAGCAGTCACAATCGTTACGAACCAATGACAGAGTTGTGTCCTCGAACCATGCGTGCATTGCTTAGAGAACTCACACAGGATGTCATTGAACAGGAAAATCTACGAAATGTTCATAATATGGAAAGATTTACTCAGAATGGGAATGCACATTATGACAACATGGCCAAACAACTGAATACATTAAATGAAATAATGAATAAGTTAGTAGGCCAAGTTTGTCAGCCAATTGTGCCTATTGCTAATCACTTTCAAACTAGGATAATCGTGGGACATAATTCCCCAGTCCTAAGTCCAAATCAGGGATAGAACCACCTACTTTAAACCAGGGGATGGTGTAATGTCAAATCAGAATAGTGGTAATGGTACATCTAACTTGGGGGTAACCTAAATATAAAAGACAATGTTCTAAATAATGTACGGAATACCCCACGTGTCAATGATGGAATAAATATTCATGCTAATGGTAACAATGGCCCAAATCATGGAAACTTTGTTGCCAACCAAGGACCAAACATCAGGCCTCAGGCAAATCAACCGATCAACCAACCTGTAGGAATTCCATATGACCTCAACGTCATGTTGAGAAATCAAATTATGGAAATAGTACAGGATCAAATGGCTTTTGGGGTACATCCTGTCATTAGGCCGACTTACACAAAGTCATACCCTGATTGGGTAGACCAAGCATATCCGTGGCCTAGAGAGTATAAAATGCCACATTTCTCATTATTTACCGGTATAGGAAAAGTATATACTCTAGAACACATAGGGCGATTCACACTGCAAAGTGGTGAAGTAACCGACTACCATAAAATGAGGTTGTTCCCTAGTTCATTAACAGGAATAGCTTTTCTTGGTTCATCAACTTGCTAGCGAACTCTGTTCAAAAATGGCAACAATTGGAGCAATTGTTCTAAGCTCAATTTTATAAGACTGAGTCTGAAGTTACTTTGACCGATTTGACGAATCTACGTCAAATGCCAAACAAATTGGCAGAAGGTTTCCTTCAAAGGTTCAAGACAACAAGAAGTAAATGTTTTGTACCTTTGCCCGAAAAGGAATTTGTCAAAATCGCTCAAAGTTGTCTAAACTTTGATTTGAAAAAGAAATTCCAAGACAGGGAATTTCTTGATCTTTTCCAATTGAGTACAAACATGATTAGGTATGAACGATTAATAAGAGAAGAATAGCAAATGAAAAATTCTAGCAAGGGGACTTATTATAGAGACCCAAATTTTGATGTTCATACCATTAATGACGAGTATTACGATCAAACTAAAATGTGTTTGGCCGAATTAATCAAAGGAGACGCGTATACTTGTCCTATAATGGCTAAGCCTAGATCGTCGGGCAATGATGAGCCTATAAAAGATGAAAACAAGAAGGCTAGAACGTTCTCGTTCGATGTAACCAAAGCTAACATTATATTTGATAAACTATATAAGGATAAGCAGATAAAGCTGAGTGATAAACATAAGTTGTCAAGCCTTGAACAAATCAATGGTAAAAAATATTGTAAGTGGCATAATGCATGGTCGCATTTAATTAATAACTGATTGGTTTTTCGCTGTGTGTTACAGGACGCCATTGAATCAGGATGAATTACGTTCGAGGATAAGAAGAAGATGGCAGTGGATGAAAACCCTTTTCCACAGCCACTTGGGGTGAACATGGTGACGACTGGTTTCAAACATAAGTTGCCAATATTCAAGTTGGTTATAGATGATGGAGAAGAGGACCCTGGGCCACACCCCAGTGTCTTTGAACGTATCAAAAGGAAAGAGCCTAAAAAGGATAAAGACGTCCTGTGTGTAAGATGTAAAAGAGAAGTGAGTGCAAATACAAAGAAACCAGGGATATGGCAGCATCATCATCGCCCTAATTTTTTTTCCAAACGCTCAGCCTGGTAGAGGGCGAGATACATCATTC